CACACATTCAAAATAAGTGAAAGAGTGATATCTAATAAATTTTGTTGAGAAAATAATAATTGTTCATTTTTTTGGTAACTTTTTCTGAAACCTACGAAGAGGTAATTTCATTATTGAAACAACCGACAATGAAAGTGAAATATGACATAATAAAATGTGTTTGAAGACATTTTATTCATGACAACATGATGTTAACAAACCTTTTCCTGATCGATATCCATTGCCATCTCCGTCAACAACCACCGTTAGAATTAGGCAGGAGGGGATTTGAAAGTGCATCGGAAAACACTCCCCTTCGAAAGTCCACGAAAACAATGTCCCAACTGAAGTGACAGCTTATCAAACTTGATGAAATTCATTTCAGAACACGCACAATTATGAAAATCTTACACGACCTACTATTTCTGGACCAGAAATGTCTAAGTTCTGTCACTATTTGGCTTTGGATCCGTGAAATGTTGAAATTGACAGGTCACACCATGCAGATTCCTCGTTTCAAAATATCCGGCTCGTCTGCAGCCTAAACAGCGGCTGTTCAGTCATACTCGTGAGTGAGTGAGTTAAAGTTTAACGTCACATCGGCAATATTTCAGCCATATCGTGACGAAACAAAATTTGATATGAACAATATATATTAAACTGTATAAAATTCTGCCGACAAAGAGCAGTATAATAACTAGAACAACACAGACTTTCGTAAAATTAGTTTGAGAACAAGTAAAAATAGATAACTAACTAATATAATCATTTAACAACACATTATAAAAACAGGCTATAGATCGCCACCAACTGAAGGTTGATCACCGCGCTTGGGACCATGGGGACTTACAGTACTTTTGCTACCTGCATGGACCCCAGTCGGATTTACATCATCCCTTCAGTTGTTGGCGATGGCTGACAAATTTAGCCAAACATTAAAATAACACATATACTACTATTAAAAACGTGGAAGAAATAAATATACTTTGAAAGACGTGGTCTTACTCAGTCATACTCAGTTCCATTAGTAATCACATGGATGTACCTGCAGGCTCGATCAATCCCAGTAAATCTACAGGTAAATGTTGATCCACATCATAGATCGAGGTTGTCATCTTGCTTCTTTTAACTAGATCTAGTTAATGTAAACACATGATTGTCAGCCATTGACAGCTGTGAGCTGTGAGTAACCGTGATGTAGGTCAAGTTCTGCCACATCCAAGTTCGGGGTGGAGAGGCATTTACTTTGATGTTATTATTGTTTACTGGGGGTAACTGCTATCTAACTAATAACTCTTAGACATGTTAAATGTATATTAGAATGTTAATTCATAAAGTTTGCTGTAGAAATATATTCGTTTAGCATTTTAAAACCTTGTTCCATTAACCCTCACCCCTACAATAGAAATGATGGCATGTTCGATTTCCAAGAAATGACCTCTCGCACATATTTCCGAGAAACGACGGCCAGTCCACAGTGTTCAACAGTGTGCAACAGTTTGATAGAAATTAAAACATCTCTCTTTGAATTAAGTTAAGAGTTTTATTTGTCAACTTTTTTTGAAAAACTAGATCTATGTGATTTGAACACTTATTATGAACTACTCACGACAATGGTGTTTTTTAATCTTCAACTTTTGTAATAATTGCTACATATATACCTGTGACCACTTTTCAGAATATTCTTAGATTGCGGATTGTGTTATTATGCGTTGCAAAAGAGCGCCGTTTTCAAAGCGTTGTTGCCGTTATGGTAGAATGGAGATAAACCTACTGTGTTTTTAAATTTGATGTGGTCCCACTGTAGAATAGATACCTCGATATTATAATTTTGAATCGAGCGCTTTAGCGTGAGGTTCCAAATTATAATAAAGAGGTATCTATTCTACAGTGGGAATACATCAAATTTCAAAACACAGTAGGTTTATCTCCTAATTAAAGACAAGAATTTTCGTTTTCTTTTAAGTTGTTGTAAAGGTTCCCAACCAGTTTTGAAATATAGTGAGGCTCGCGATGCATGTGTATTTTGGTAGCCCAGTAATTAATGTTTCTAGCTGCTTCCAACTGCAGTCTTTCTAGCCAATCACACTGATCTATTGTACATCCCAAAGCTCACATGCGTATACAAATTGGGGCCTAATGAGAGTGTCTCGGTTTACTATAAAGTAAAGTAATCTTTATGAGTATATCATATGTGAGGTTGTTGTAACAATCGTGTCTGCATGACAAGACCACTTGCTTGGTGATTCGAACGTAACGCCTACATGTCACCTGTATTAGTTTCTCTCACATCAAACTATAGTTTTATCATAATGTATATCTTCTTTTAGTGAGAATAAAAACAAACTTTAGTTCCTGTTCAGATTATTTTGGAATCATTGCATTACATCTCGTAGACATAAAATTATGTGTCTTCAGGCATCATCATCATCATCATCATCATCGTTGACGTGGCCGTCATCATCATCATAAAAAACATCATAACCTGACATTGTTATGTTAATAATGATTATTGTAAATCGTGTTGTACCACATTAATGGAGGAGGCGTGGCTGGATGGATATTTAATAACTGGGGGCTTATTCATTTGTCTAGCAGTTGTACTGTTGACCATCAGACACCAAAAGCGCCAAACTCTGTTGTGCTCCTGACAAGACACGTCACAGTGACGTCATATATATAGCGCGCACCTTACCGGTCGTAGTGTCGCCAGTCAAGGCGTTTCATGGCTGGTAGTGAGATGTGTCGCTTGTGTTAGGACGTAATTGTTGGGTAAGTGTTTTTACCACCGTATTTTGTACTTATAGAATCATTAGGAACATAGATAGGGTTGTAAACAAAGCATGATTGATGGACAACGATATGAATATTGCAGGTAACAGACAGCAGGTGCTTGCTTCACACTGAACTGTGACTGATCTATGTCCAAAAGCCAAACTCTTCATTAGCTTGAACTGACACCGGGGCTACACACACGTACATATTTCCACAAGCCACACACAACCCATTAGTTTTCAGGCATATTATGTTTAATCTAGATCTAGTAATAATTGTTTTCGAAATTTTCATTCAACTGATATTTTTACAACTAAGACCTAATGTTTTGTTGATTCTGTTTTCGTGAATCAAAGAGTTATTGAAATACATATATAGATACTGTACACAGATGTATTTGTACATGTCGCTACACACTGCAGTTTGTTTGTGTTATTCAGGGTAGAAAATACATTCACAAGTTTATGTCTGCACACCTTTATCTAGAGGATAATCTGTCCCGACACATGTAATATTAAATTCAATTGTAAGTAGGCCCAGAGCGCTCTGTATTTACTAAATTCACCATTCAATCGGCCAATGTCGTCTATTCACGAAAGCCCAAACAGTAGGGCCTAACGTTCTATTTTATCTTCGTATAGGAAATATAACTTTATTATTGTACCAGAAGTAGACAGGTTTGGCAAGGAGAACCGGCACTGCTGGTCATGTTAGCCTGTCTCCAGATTAAATTCGTATCTCGATCACTATGTCCAAGTTTTGATATCGTTATCTGCCTAGATTTACGTTTCCTCGGACAAGACAAGACAGTAATCAATGGAATTCATGGTTCAAGAAACTGTTGACACTAAACCAGGCCAGACGTGGCCATTTCCTTTTATTTAGGATTTCCTATCGCTCACTTCATTAAACTTTACCCATACATTCATTCATGTATAGTAGGCGACATTTAGAAGCTTTGATGTAAGGCCTAGATTATTTGTATATGCATGTTTTACAACGAACATGACGCACGGCCACTATGGAAGGCCTTGCAGCCTAGACGTGTATGAATTCCGTAAAAATACAAGTAACGATATTTGACTGACGAGGAAATAACAGCTTGTAGGCCTAAATGTATAGTATATCTTGCCTAGATATTATATCCAATGATGTTTTGAGATTTTCATTTTCCAAACTTGAAATCTTGAATGCCCCTGTCGAGGTTTACACTTTTACAACTCAATGAACAAAACACTGACCCAAATGTGATGAAAGCAAATTGTCGACCAGGTCTGAATATCAACTAACATGGCAATAAATCATGACAATTCTATATAAACTATTGTGATTAATATTGAAATCAAATGCTTAAGTAAATCGTATTATAGTGAGACTTCACATAAAACATACTACATGTGGCCCCGAGCAATATCACGGCATGTTATTATAGAATGCTTCCATGTTGATGTCCACCTTTCATTGTACAAAACATCGCGATATGGCTGCAATATTGCCGATGCGATGTAATATTTTAACTCACTCACTCACTCATTGTACAAAACTTGCTTTGATATTCACTTTGGCTCTAGTCCCGTTGAGCTTCACCCACCTATTTTGCAAATAGTCACGCTGTCGCCAACTAGGTCCAGTGCCTAGAAGCCAATCACACAAGCCGAGAGTTGTCCGGTAACATGCGTGTGTGCCATTCCCACAGGTACTAATACGACATTAATGTGTCAAGGGCGTTAACTCCAGACGACCGAGCAGTAATAGATTAAACAAGGATATTGCAATTTCAGTTAGTATTAATTTCCAATAAAAATCCTAAAATGTTTTTTATCTCCACTTTATTATTCGTACTCAGGGTTAGAACTAACAGTTTTTGTCCACTAGTCCTTATAATGATAACATATAGCAAAACCCTTAAAATGGGCTAATTCTACTAGTCCTCAGGATACCTTTACTATTGGGCATTGTGTAGATATTGTCACATGTATTGTAGTAGGCAAACCACCCTCCAGACATACACACAACTGTGTTAGAACTGTGAGATGTTACAGAAACATTCTAACCATGCAAATACCTGAAGCATAAAAACACAAACCAGCTGTTGCCATTCCCTCCACAGTCGCCATGTTGTTGTCAGCCATGTTGCATGTCTAGATAATACATCAAGTGTTTTATATCCTCACTGTAAAATGTGAACACTGCAGCTGTGAGATAAAGATGTCGGACATGTGTACAGAGTTTACTTTGTGTTACAGCGACACCGACACGCGACCTCCATGATGCCAGCAAGGAGGGGGACATGGCGGACGTGAAGCGGATCCTGGCAGAAGGTCGGGCTGACGTCAACGGTAGAGACGGGATAGGGATGACACCGGTGATGTGGGCAGCACACAGGGGACACAGAGACGTGGTGGAGTTCCTGGTGAGTGGAGGTGCTGATGTGTCACTGGTGGACGAGGGCGGTGACAACACCCTTCACTTCGCCTGTATGACAGGACATGTGGAGACGGTGAAGTTTGTGCTGTCTCTGAACGTGGCGGACATCAACTGTAGAGACAGGGTCGGGATGACACCGAAGATGTGGGCAGAAAAGTGGGGACACAGAGACGTGGTGGAGTTCCTGGTGAGTGAAGGGGCTGATGTGTCACTGGTGGACGAGGTCGGTGACATGTATGGTAGTGGGCAAACCACCCTCCAGACATACACACAACTGTGTTAGAACTGTAAGACCTGATACACGAGGTGGGTGGAGACAATGTCACATGTATTGTAGTGGGCAAACCACCCTCCAGACATACACACAACTGTGTTAGAACTGAAAGACCTGATACACGAGGTGGGTGGAGACTGTGTCACATGTATTGTAGTTGGCAAACCACCCTCCAGACATACACACAACTGTGTTAGAACTGAAAGACCTGATACACGAGGTGGGTGTAGACATTGTCACATGTATTGTAGTAGGCAAACCACCCTCCAGACATACACACAACTGTGTTAGAACTTTGAGATGTTACAGAAACATTCTAACCATGCAAATACCTGAAGCATAAAAACACAAACCAGCTGTTGCCATTCCCTCCACAGTCGCCATGTTGTTGTCAGCCATGTTGCATGTCTAGATATACATCAAGTGTTTTATATCCTCACTGTAAAATGTGAACACTGTAGCTGTGAGATAAAGATGTCGGACATGTGTACAGAGTTTACTTTGTGTTACAGTGACACTGACTCCCGCACGTAGAGACCCCGAGGCAGACCGCTACCTCCGTGACGCCAGCATGGAGGGAAACATGGCGGCCGTGAAGCGGATCCTGGCAGAAGGTCGGGCTGACGTCAACTGTAGAGTGAAGGGGCTGATGTGTCACTGGTGGACGGGGTCGGTGACAACACCCTTCACTTCGCCTGTAATGGAGGAGATGTGGAGACGGTGGAGTTTGTGCTGTCTCTGAACGTGGTGGACATCAACAGTAGATAGATAGATAGATAGATCATCTTTATTTCCTCCAGTTGATGAAGATACATTGATATGAGATATAAATATATATATATAACAGCTGATATATTGTATGTACAGACAGTTTCACATCGTTATCAAATAATGTTTCTTAGTAGGTTTTTCCACATTTTAACAGTTTTACATACACGAAGCATGATATTTGCCCATAGATTGTATTCAATTGCCATAGTACTTTCTGTTGGCAAACCGCCAAGTAAAAAGGACAGAAAGGTTTCGTCATCATCGTTCCAGATACTAGAAAAAGTTGTCACATCTAGCAAATCAATAATAGACTCAACAAGAATATTTCTTTGTTGTTGAGTCTTTTTACAATACATAAACACATGTTTGATAATATCAAAAGCAAATGTGCCGCATAAACATTCATCAGATTGTATACTGTAGGTGCTAAGGCATAATAAATATGCTAAATCATAGAAGTGTTCCGGCCTTTCAATTGTTAGTAACCAAAGTCTGTGTACCTTAGGTGATCGTATAAGAGAGTATCGTTTTAGGTTTTCTCTTGAATGAATCTCTGCATGAATTATGTTATGGTCACCTACGCTTATTTGTTCTTTAACTCGACTCGCCCATGCATGTTTTGAGGGGAAATGAGAATAAATGGTATATGTGTTTATGTCATTATTGAGTTCATACTTGTTTACAAGTGAAAGCATGTGGTACAAGGGTGACATTTTACATTTATCATCTTTTTCTTTAATTGTATCGAGTTCAAACTGAACAAGTCTGTGCTGAAATAGTCTTTTAAATGCAAAGTTAATGTCACTATTACATAGTCTTCCCAGAAATAAGAGACCTCGTTGATCAATGTACGCCTGGAGAGAAATTAAACCCAGACAATCTCTGGTGACGACGGAAGGAGTGCGTCTAGACAGTCCTTGAATCTTTTTACAAAAATAACGTTGAATAATTTCAAGCATTTCGTATTCCTTCGGTGACAGTTTACCCCATACACTACAAGCAAATAATCCACATGGTAAAATTACCCTTTCCCATATACGAACAGCTGGGATAGGATTTAAGCCACCAAAGTATAGTCCATGATTATAATTTATATTGACTAACATTCTGAGTTTTTCACATATTAGATGGGTACGTTCTAAGGTTTTCTTTGATGTACTTAGAAACAATCCAGCATAAGTTACATTTTCCTTTTTAGGAAGTACTTGTGAACCAATGTAGACACATTGAGAGACAGATTTGCGAATATTCCCAAACAGTAGAAATGCACTTTTACTGGCATTATATTTCAAATGCCATCTATTAGCATAGGTGTATATATTATTCAGTAGACATTGCAGTCCGTCAGAGGAGCTGCTCAACAGCGTAGTATCGTCTGCTAATAGGATGCCGGGTGTATTACCCCATGGAAGACACAAGCCACGCCCTAAATCATCAAGTGAATACAACAAGTCGTTAATATATAGAGTAAAAAACCATGCCGATAAAACGCGACCTTGGCCAACACCTTGCTTAACATGAAACACATTTGAGGTAAAACCTCCAATGCTTACACATGACTGCATTGAGGTATATATTGTGCGTAGAAGTCGCCATAATTTTCCATTAATACCAAAGTTATACAGTTTGAAGAAAAGACCATTAAGCCAGACTCTGTCAAAAGCTTTCTCGTTGTCGAGAAAAGCGCAGTAAACTGGAGACTGTCTTTCGTTATAATAAGCTATGCTTTCCATTAATGTAAACAGGGCAGTTTCTGCCCCAGCCCCTCTCCTAAATCCAAATTGAAAGCGGTGGGGGAAGCCTTTAGATTTGTTTGCCCACTCTTCAATTCTATTCAGCAGAAGTCTTTCGAACAGTTTACTTAATACTGGAGTGACGGTAATACCTCTGTAGTTAGTGGGGTCGTCTTTACGTTTACCATGGCCTTTATGGATAGGTAAAATCTTTCCAACGTTAAACATTTTAGGTACATATTCATGAGAAACAATTTTATTATAAAATATAACAAGGTGTTGGATAATAGATCTACCAGAGTATTTGATATGTTCATTAACTATGCCATCGGGACCAGGCGATTTTCCACTTTTTAGACGTTTTATAGTTGCCAATAACTCATCAGATGTGAAAGGACAAATCAACGTGGAACTAACGTCGCTGTTCCCTTGGTCATTATACGAGTCATTTTCAATCTGTTCCATGCGAATATTCACATAATCAGTAAAATCTGAGTCAAAATTGATATCATGATTTGGCATTGATAAATCCTTGAAATATTTGGAAAACAGATTACAAATTCCTTCCTGTGTATTACAGGACTCTTCATTTTACACAAGCGTCTGGGTTTGTTCCTTCTTTCTTTTATATTTCTTGGTTACTCTAAAGTACTCTGTTATATCAACCTCAGCTGCTTCATATATTTCCTGAAACTTTTCGTCTTTCAGTTTTTGTTTGGAACGGCGATGCTGCTTCCTAAAGATACGTTTTGCTCTTTTATACTCAATGTAATTTGCATCCTCTTTATCATGAGATTTACCATTATAGATCCATTCACTACGGCGTTGTCGCATTGTACGATGCAACGTATTTAAATTATCTTTTTTCCAGTATGGTTTTAAATGAGATTGGAATTTTGAAGATGGTATACTTAGTTTAGCTGCAGCATGTAACGCTTGTAGGATATAGTCGTGATAACTTTCGATGTATTCATGAGGAGATGCGTACTGAGTTTCGTCAAACTGAGCACATCTAAAATAGTTTTCAGTTTCATATCGGTATAACATAAAGTCTACGTCATTAGCTTTACGCCAGTTTAGATGTTCACCGCCATGGTGGCGTGGCTGGGAATCAGTACTCAGACATAGGAATATCGGACAATGGTCTGATACTGAGTATTGAACACCAGTATCTAAAGTATAACCAACAACGTTACTAACATGTTGGAGATTAATGAACACATAATCTATCATACTTCTTATAGTTTTACATTTACTTGTGAAGGTAAAAAAGGCATTATCGTCAAGGGGTACGACAGAGATTAGATTCCGTTCAGTGAGCACTCTTTGCAGATATTTCGCTCTGCGTTTCAATATAATTCCATGCCGCAGGTCTGCATTAAAATCACCCAGAAGAATTGTCTCCCCTTGATGAGAACATCTATCATAAATCTCCAGTACATTATTAACTTCTTCTATGTATACACTATCTAATACGTTAGATGAGGGAAGGCGAGCACCAATTATATACATAGGGCATTTATTAATGAAGAGTTTAGCCCCAATGATATGCTCGCTTGAAGGTATACTAATTGCTGACGACCTCCGACATGTACTTTTACGAATAAATATGGCTATACCCCCTGCGCCTCTTTGAGATAAGTGGTCATGCTGACATTTAACATAGACGTTAAAGTCATCATCCAAGTCATAGAGTAGATATTCACGTGTGTCGTCCAGCCAGTGTTCGGTAATAACCAAAATGTCACAGCTCATTAGTTTTGAGCGAATTTCATCTAAGCAATTCAATGCCCCACGCACATTCCACGTAATCATGCGAAGGATTGCCATTAGAACAAGTATATATGTCGCAAGTCTAAAATTGTTCATCAACATTATTAATGTTCAGCCTTATCGTCATTGTACCACACATTATTCGGTAGCCACTCACGACAGTTAACGTTTTCGGGCCAGAAGCAGTCATCATCCAAGATGATATCTGCACATTGCTGTGGGACAGTTATTCGAATGGTGAAGGTAGGATTGCGTCGCCCTTCCCAGTGTTTCATGAGTCTCACATTTGTGATAGTTACATCACGATTCTTAGCATAGTCACATATAGCATCTTTAACAACGTCAAATGGTTCGTCAGCTCTGACATAGCTTAGGACCAGTCTTTTGTTTCTATTTCTATAGACACCGGCAAAAGACTTTTCCCACTGATTGTTGAATGTAACATTTCTTGACTCCTTTACATTGTTTACAGGTTTAGTTTGCTTTTGTCTGTCGACGCCATCATGCTTGACAATGAGCGGCTTGGGGGAAGTGTCTTCAGAGCTTGGGTCTTTACTGCCTGCATTGTCATGAGTCTGAGGTCTGAATGGGAGGCTTGGGAATTGACGAGAGTCTATACTCGTGTAATCGGTCCTCTGAATGGGTGGGGATATAGGTCTGTTGGAATTTGGGCTTCCCTTCGTAACAGTCTCCGAATATAAAAGTTTGTTTCTCGTGTTCATGCAATCTATTTTTCCATCGACAACGCGCACATTCTTGTCAATAGATATAATTGTTTCTTTCACATTTCCTCTCAATTCAAGTAACTCAGTCTCTTTCTGTTTGAGTTGATTACGTAATTGAATTAAGTCCGTCTTCATTGACTGTTCATTTGAACGAAGTGTCTGAATCACAACCGTACACCTTTTCACTTCATCGCTCTTTTCATCATATGCACTGATTAACTGTAACATATCTCTGTCATATTTGTCTTGAAATTGATCCAGTTGTCTGCGCACACTGTCAAACTTCTTGTTTACATCTTCGTGCAAGAACATTAGTTTCGCCAATACACTTGACAATATGTCCTTGTCCTTTTCCATAGCTACATCAGTAGTAGGCTTCATACAGGCTTGCTTTGGTCTACTTAAGACATCAGTCTGAATCACATGAGCTGGAATAGCACCTTTAACAAACTTATAGAGCAGATACACATCAGATGCATATTTTTCTGCTACGCTTTTAGTTTGACCACTTCTATTGACAACACCCTTCACTTCGCCTGTAATGGAGGAGATGTGGAGACGGTGGAGTTTGTGCTGTCTCTGAACGTGGTGGACATCAACAGTAGAGGAGTGTGGAGCTGGACACCGGTGATGACGGCAGCAGAGCGGGGACACAGAGAAGTGGTGAAGCTCCTGGTGAGTGAAGGGGCTGATGTGTCACTGGTGGACGTGGACGGTGACAACATCCTTCACTACGCCTTTATTAGAGGAGATGTGGCGACAGTGAAGTTTGTGCTGTCTCTGAACGTGGTGGACATCGACGCCAGGAACAACATCGGTCTGACAGCGGCCGACATGGCGAGACTCGGGGGACATAAGGAAGTTGTGAAACTTTTGGAGCCATGCTTTCACGTGATGTAAATAGGAGAAAATGTTGGATCGCGGCGGTCACCTGAAGTGTGTTGTGTTTGTGTGGACGGTGAAGGAGGACATGTTGTTACACATAGTGACGTGGTGTGCCGTTCACGTCGTCGTGCTTTATATTTCAGGATTAGGTGAGAATGTGTGTTGTGTTTGATGATAAATAAAACTTGTTGAAAACATTTTCAGACATTTTGTCATTTTTTGTGTTTGGAACTTCGCATGATCAGGTTAGAAAATTGTTAACTGAGTGTAAATAGAGATGCTGTGTGATTTATATGTAAACTCCCCATCTCGTGATATTATTCTGTGTTAATTGTGAGTAATTAGTTTGTAATTAATCGTGAAACAAACACAACAAACTGGTTGTTAACATCTCGCTGCACTCTGTGACCTCAGACTGAGCTGACATGGCGCCAAATGTACAATGACAGTGACGTCACACTGTCGATGACGTCACGGCCTTGCGGCACTGCCTTCGCCTCACCTCGCCCGTTTCTAATATCTCACTCCGGCGCAGTGGTGACTTAGCATAGCACTGTGCTGGTCGCGTGGAACTCTGGGTAGGAGAGTGTTCTAATATATGTTAGAATGGGCGATCTTTTTACAACTGAATATGGTTAACTAGCACATTTTTTGCAGTGATTATTAGTTTATAATATCAACATTTGTTGAGTCTTCTACTAAAAGACGAATTGTCACGATGGAAGATAGCTGGAAAAAAGTCATGAAAAACAGTATTTTGCCTAGGTATTTTCTACGTCAGAAAACAGCGAGGCATTCTGTCAGTCTGGGCTAACATATTGCATCGATGAAATGATGCAGACTCATTTTATTTATCAGGCTTTGTGTTATTTCCCACTACAATTCCAATTCAAATCTCAACAAATACTACCATGGACTTCAATGTAATAAAATTGGAGATACGCCTAAATGTGCAGCACACAGACATCTTTGACAGGCCTTTACCACTGATGTATATAGTTAGTATATATCCGTGCCTTTACAAATAGTTTAAGAAGAAATAACGTTCAAAATAATAAAACAACTGATTTTAAATCATGTTACGTTTTATATCAAAATTAAAGTTGCATCTGAATATCTAAATTTATATTCTGACATTACTTTCTAGAAATATGCCAAATGAAAATCTGCCATGCATCTATCAAGCAATCAGTTACTCAGTGACAATTATTAGTCATACTTTGAAATAAGAGATTTACCCAGGTTACTCTGCCCCTTATAACATGTGTCCCACCATTTAAGTGATTTGAGTCATCACAGGTGTTAATTCATTTATCCATCATTTCTTACAGAATTCTGATTCTCATGCTCTTAAAATAGTAGTAAATTACAGAGATTGTCCCAACAAACATCAAATCATACTGACTACCCCACAAAAGGTGTATGATACATAAATTGATGGAAATCATAGTTTTATTTTATTTGGGAATCATAGTTTTATTTTAGTAACTCTATATTTATTTATATGTTGACAAATTATTTCCCATACAAACCCACACACTATCCTGCTGCAGCTATGTATCCTGATTTTCATTCAACAGTACTTCAAGACACATGTAGTATTAAGTCCATATATTAGATATTATTCTCATGTAGCAAATATGAATTTAGAAAGTTTATCATCAAATCTTCTGATGGTGACATAAATGCAAATTGAACCCCATAATCAATCCATGTAGATAAATGGATTTATTTATGTTATTTGTTTTTGCATATAACAGGTTATACTTACATATATTACAGTCAGTGTATATTATAAGGCAATATGTATATTGACTGATTCACTCAGGCAAGGTATATTTTTTCTTATACTTTCACTCATTATACATATTGCCTGAAAAATAGGAATGGATTTTAGATGGACTGACTGAAATGAATTAGACTGCATACTTGAATTTCCTTAGTTTAATTTGGATCTATTTTGATCTTTTGAAGGTCAAAGTAACTTATGTAAGAAATTAAAAATGCTTTCACAATGAATTCATTGATTCTGCAAACATGAAAGAATACCAGAGTCCCTTTTTTATGTTACTTATCTTTACTGACATAACATTTAAGTTCAGAAACAGATAATGACTGCTAAAAAGTCACATGTAATCTAATACTTGTACTTATGCACAAGTATGCCAAGATATCAAATAAAATAATAACAGATATCTGTTGGTGTGAAAAGAAAAAAGACTAACATTAATAAAAAAAATTGTGGGAATTTGAAACATCAGATTAGAATGAGGAAACATAAAAAGCAGGGCCGAATGAAATTAAGAATGAGCTTTATCTTACAATCATCTGATAATGTCATTGCAAAGTTGGTGTAGATGTTTTAATTTATCAAAATTGTAGTTGGTATAAGTACTCTTGATTATGTATTTTAAACCAATGTAAACCTATAGGGTCCTCTGTGTCAGAAAGAAATATAATTTTCTACTTTGTAAAATTTTAAAAAGGCCAAAATGATATATATCTTTCATTTATCATATTGAAATATAATCATTGTAGTATTTGGCAACTATTTTCAGGTGAACAAAATTAATATATCGACATTAAATCGTAGTCACCGCTTCATTTTAATAATAGAGACATCCATAAATTATGTAGTAGTATTTATCCGATAACATTACGTTTTATAACAAAAGTCAAACTAATTCGGGATATATTTTTGATGAACAGATTGTCATAGTATATACCTTTCAAAATATAACTGATGCCGATATACTTGAATGATAAATATGTGCTATAATGGATCATAATTATATTCTCGAGGCACAATGCCAACTAACATCAAGGCGAGTGGTCTGTTAGTTAATGCTGGTACTTACAGCCGAGTAGGTACACCAATGTTAGCAACTACAGTCCTCGCCACTTGAAATAGAATCACGAAACATCGCGATAATTCATTAACGAAGATAGCTGCATGTGCACTATTACTTGTAAACTGAACACAAGCCATTCCGCCGATAAGGACTATTACTTACATTAATGACAAACATTGCAAAGTGTGCTTTTCAGAATATCCATTTTCTTCAGTGATAAACATCCGGATTGAGTTTTGATCATGGTGTTACAATCCGGGTAAGAATCGCCAGAACGGTTATATTTGGCAGTGGTCACTGTGCATGAAATACCACCTCTGCAAGGTTTATTGTCTTCAGCTTGTACTGGTAATGTACGTGCGCTTCATACGCTACTAAATATAGCCTATATATAGTCACCTGAACAGTGTCTGTAGGTAAACTGTGAGTAAACTGAGAGCCTTAAGAGCCAGCACATTTCAAAAACCTGTAGGCCCAGTGGAAAAACTATAGGTCCAGTGGAAAAACTGTAGGCCCAATGGAACAGCTGTAGGCCCAGTGGAACACCTGTAGGCCCAGTGAAACACCTGTAGGCCCAGTGGAAAAACTATAGGTCCAATGGAAAAACTATAGGTCCAGTGGAAAAACTGTAGGCCCAGTGGAACACCTGTAGGCCCAGTTGAACAACTGTAGGCCCAGTGGAACAACTGTAGGCCTAAACACTTTATCTGAAGCAGGGACACAAACTCTTGCAATGTTATTTCCAAAACACAGCCAGTCAACCAGAAACTTTAACTGCTATCCCACCGAGATCCCAGAGACTTGGTGGTGATAGATGAAGCCTACATTTTTTAAGGAAATTATAACCATTTACAACATCTTTGCGACGACATGTCATACACCATCTGAAATGTCTAATTCTACTTTTAATGAATATGAAAGTTATATTTATCACATTTTTTAAAACAATGTTAAAAAACCATAGCTTAAATAAACTGCAGGCCGTAAGGGTGTGGTGAAACTTCAAACTATCAGCCCGAGAGCAAATCTGTCGGCCTCGGACCTACGGACCATGTCTATTTCGAGTGGATGAGTGAATGAGTGAGTATGGTTTTACGCCGCTTTTAGCAATATTCCAGCAATATCACGGCGGGGGACACCAGCAATGGGCTTCACACATTGTACCCATGTCGGGAATCGAACCCGGGTCTTCGGCGTGACGAGCGAACGCTTTAACCACTAGGCTACCCGACCGCCCGTCTATTTCGAACACTGCACTGACTGACGAAGCTCACCAGGATTGTAAGGGTCTTTCGCACTTATAGACTTCAACCTAAAGACTTAAAGACTTCAACCCAAAATAATTCGATTTTTTAATGCGGACACAGGATATAAATTCAAAATAAAATTTAATTTAAAAAACCCTCAAAAAACGAAAAATAATATTTTATTAATTTTATAAAATCCACACATACTGCATGTACATTTGCTGACAATGCTCTCCATGCTGCCTGACATGTCGATTGTTGCAGGGATTTCTTATGGTCCTGGAAAGAGTTTTGTGGCTTATACACTGAACCGCAAAAGAAAAGGCACAATGGATAGATATATGAGATATATTTGCCCAACACTGTAAACATACTTTGAGTCACATTAAAAAGATGAAACTTGGCAAAACTGATCATCAAGGTTTAAATTAAAGTTATTAAATGTTATTAAAGTGAAACACAACAATAGTCTCTGAGAAAATGGCATCACAAGTTAGTATCTCGTGTGTCCGCCATGAGCACTGATGACTGCCGTGCAACGTCGATACATGGAATGGATGAGGCGGTTGGTGAAGGCCATAGGCACTTCAGCCCACACTCTGAGGAACGCCTGACGCAGGTCAACTGCAGTTGTCGACCTTGGTCGGACGTCATTCAGCCGTCTGAATCTCGTCCCACATGTGCTCAATGGGATTTAAATCGGGACTGAGGGCAAGCCACTGCATGGTTCTGGTGCCATTCTGCTGGAGGAAATCTCTTGTTGCTCTCACAGTGTGGGCACGGGCGTTATGCTGAAACTCGTGGTTACGGCGACGTGCCAAATGAGGTATGGCGTGTGGTCGCAAGACTTGATCAATGTACCGAGCTGCTGTGACACCATTGCCTCTCCCTGGACCGATGTTCTGGAAGACCACAG